CAGGGAGGACATGGGTGTGGAGAGCATTTACACCATGTCCTTCGACTACAGCTACACCTTTGACAGGGCAATCTTGGCCCAGATCATGGCGCGAGGGGCTGGAAATCACTCTCACACCTTGAACTTGGCAGATAGGAAGGGGATAATAAATAAACAACCACACCCCACAGAACTGCACAGCCAGCCCGTGTGGCCATAGCAGAGCACGAAGCAGGTCTCCGTTGGCCCTGCATCACAGGAGAATCTCCCTCCTTCTCTCCCTCCTCGGCCTGCACCACCAGGTTCCACATCCTGCCCTGCAGAATGGCTCAGTTATGAGGGCGGGAATGTCCATCCATGGGGCAGAGGTCGCATGGCTGGGTTAAGGTGCCCCCACGTTACCTTCTGCTTCCATGTGCCTGTTTGCCCTGAAGGGGCCACAAAGCTCTCCCTGGCTCGCATGCCAAACCGTTTCTCCTCTGGCTGGGCTGGTGCCTGGGTGGCACTGACTCAGCCACCCCACACTTCCTCGCAGACCCAGTGGCTCTAATCCTCCTGCTATAGCTCTTTAGATGGACCTGTTTGGATCACCTTTGCACGTTCAGCCCCTTGGAAGGTTTACCAACTCCCTCGATCCGAAAGAAGGTTTGGAGCACCCTCGGAAGCCACCTGTTTGTTTGTTTGTTTAAGCGATGCTTGCCCCCGCCTTCCTCCTTAAGAGGACCCACGGCAGGCTGTGGCTTCTCTCTGCCCTGCTGTGTCCTGAGACAGCCAGGAAACCATCCAAGCTGCTGATAGTGGGTGAATTCTGGGGCGTGATGTCCAGGGAGGGGCAGCTTGCGCTGTGGTGGAGAGCTGAGGTGATGGATGGAGCAAACGTCGCAGAAGGGACTCTGCCTGCTCCTCAGCCCGAACACATGCATCAAAAACATGACCCCACCAGCTCTGCCAAGTAGGTGGGCAATCTTTTGGGGGGCGGCACAGTGGCTGGTGCTGGCACCCTGCAGGGCACAGGCCAGCAGTTGCCTTCCCTGTAGACTCCCAATCCGGCTAGGTGTCTGCGAAGAAGGTACTTTCTGCCAGGAGCATTTAGGGGGGGGTACGTTTGCTTCTCTGGCCCTCTTCTCTTAGCGGGTAGGATGGTCAGACAAAAGCCCTTGGCTGGGGAAATCCAGGCTGCCCTTGCTTGTCCTCTGCTTAACTGGCAGACTTACTGGAATGCCTGGGACAGGACACACCGCGCAAAAGAACAAAGGAGGCAGAACTTTGTTTTTTCTAAACAAAGACACTCTCTCTCACACACACAGAGAGAGAGAGAGAGAGAGAGAGATCTGCAGAGAATACCAGGGACCTGACACGTTCTAATTAACATCTGCCTTGGGGCTTCCCCCCCCCCTCAAACAGCAAATAGGGTAGGAGAAGCAGCAGAATCCACCACTGTGGCTGTCCTACATGCTCCAGCTTCGCTGAGGATCCTTCAAGGGGCATGTTGGGAGGTTGCTGGGTCAAAGCTCTCTGAGATGCCCCAGCTCCCCTTTCTCCTGCCCATGGTGGCCGTTCTTTTGGAACAGCCTGGGTCCTTGTGCAGACCAGATTTGCTGGGCACAGCCAACACACACACACTGCATCAGAGAGCAAGGAGTTGACAGCACACAACAGCCTCCTGGTTGAAGAGCAGCCTCAGTAAGCGCAGCCACCTTCAGACTAACTCAGGCAGATCCTGTGTTCAGTGCAACCTGTGGGACGAGGGTTGCTTCTCTGTCCAACCCCAGGTCAGCCACATCCAGGAAGGGGGCGGGGGGGGCTCCCTGCTTAAAGAAAAGGTAACCCCAGCCTGCCAGATGAGCCCTCTCCCCTGGGACTGGGCAGGTTCCTCTCCCCCTCTCCCCGGTTCTCTTCCCACTCCACCACAGTGTCTTTGGGAGCACAACACACAATTCCAGCCTGTCCCTGGAACATTTGTCCTTTGGGCATCTTTCAGAGACACCTGTGGGCCACTCCTCCAGATGGCCTTCGGGTAACCACCTTACAGGAGCTGCTGAAAGGCATCAGGTCCCACAGCTGGGTCCATCTATGGCTCAAGAGTGAAATGGGTGGATTTCACAGGCCAGCTTGCCATGCTGCACGTCATGGTAAGCCATTCACTAGCTCCAGGGGCCCACGGTTCCCCACACAAGAAGCCTGCACCTTTCCACGCACAACAGCAAGCAGAAGAGGCAGGCCAGCCCTACCTCCACCATCCACTGTTGTGGGTGCAGGAGGGGAAGAATGAAGTGCGACGGAGGGTCGCTGCTGTGGGATGCCCAAGGAGAAGCTCCCTGCCTCTGTTGTCCAGAAAACAACAACAACTAGAAAGATGTACCCGAAAGACCAACACAGTTGTTCTAGTACGAGCTCTTTTGGGCAGATGTGTGGACTTCACTGCCTCTGAGGCCACCACCTCCAACCACGCACAGCACACAGACCCTCGACTTTACTGGCTAATGTTTTGTGCCTCTGGCCAAGGGATGGTAGCCTCCGGATGCAGGTGTGAATTGTTAAGATGGCCCAGGATCTTTCTGCTGTGGGAGTAAAGGAGGTCCTAGCAGGCGGGTCTGATCCTGCCTTATCAGACTGTTTCCTGCGTGTCCAGAATGCAGCCTCAGTTCCTGAAGGCAGAAGGTTTTTCCCATCTTCTCCCAGGGCTGTCTGTCCCCAGGAACCTCAGGTGTTCAGAAGAGACACCCACTTCCTACAACTGACTTCCCAACCATCCCATCAGAGAGTCACAAGGCCCAATACACACTAGGATGCTTCTTTCCTTGCTTGCTTGCTCCTAGGGGGGCTTTCAAAATGCAAAGTGCAGGTGACAGAGAGGGAAAGGGAGCCCAGGTTAAAGCTGACCTGACCCAGCACACCGTTTCCAACACAGGTCAGCCAGGTGCCTCGGAGAAGTCCTTAAGCAGGCAGCATGGATGCAACTACCTTCCACAGCTAGGAATCACCATGGATCTAGGCCACCCCCAGCCAAATCAGAGGCAGTTGCCGGGGAAACCTAGAGCGAGGGTACCAGCTGCACTTCTGAGCTGCTATGGGAGCTTCCCTCTTCCCCTGATCTCTCTGTTGGATGCCCCAAGGATCTGCTCCAGGGCCGTGTTGGCTGCTGGATTCTGGAAACGATTGTCTAAAAGAGTCGTGTTTCCATACTCTGAGGTAGACAGCCTCTGGACATGGATGTTCCACTGAAGTGGCATGGATGTCAGCTAAAAACTACCAGCCTGTGCTCTTTTCTTTGCTGCCTGAATCCTGATTTCCTCTGTGAGACACAGGTGCACATCTGGAGACCTACCTCTAAAGGTGTGCTGATGAAGCCTTGAGGGACAAGGGCTCCTTCCCTGTTTCCCCCTCCCCCCCCACACACATTATGCACTTTATTGTTACCATCCTCTCATCCCGCCCTGCCTCTTCTCACAGAAACACAGAGCCAGTCTGGATGCACCTTGGCAACCCAGCCCCTCCCAGCGACTTATGTAAGGGCAGAAGGGGCCGTCCCTTGACTTGGTGGTGGCAAACGCAGCAGCCACTGCCCCTTCTCATGGCAGCCCCTGCCAGGCAGCCCCACCCTCTCCCGCTGGCAGGATCTTTAGGGCTTGTGCTATGAATGTGAGAGGACATGTGCAACAGCCCTGCATGGGGGCGTGGATGTCAACATGACACGTGTGCACGTGGGCCCTGGCATGAGTCTCTGGTTGCTTTAGGGAAGCTGGTGCCCAGGGGGAGGAAGCACGCAGGCAAGCTGCATGCCAGCCGACGGGGGTGGGAGCTGCCCGTCTGCAAGCCAAGAGCAGCGCATGAGAGGGCCCACGAGTGACAGGCTGCAGCTCTTTCTCCCTGCAACCACGACAAGACTTGCAGCCGTTTTTCTGGAGAGTCACCTGAAAGCCCCCCAACACCCACCTCCCCTCAGGAGCACTGCTTGAAAGGAAGAGGCCGCGACACGGAAAGATGGCCCTCCTCTCCTGGTGAAGGAGAACGGACCCGCTCCTGCTCCTTGCAGAGGAAGGAAGGAAGGAAGGCACCCCCTTGCAGCTGACGGTACAGAGTGGGTGGGTCGAGGAGGGGAGGCACACCTGTCACTGGCTCACCACAAACATCCTGCAGTCTGGCTCAGGCTACACCAAGGTTTCCCCTGAAGCGAAGCAAACACGATGTGTGTCCTCCTGGTTCTGCCAAAAGTGCTCCAGCCTTTGGCTTCCAGGGATCCCAGTTTCTAAGACAACTTGACAGCTTGGGAATGTGGGCAGTGGCCTTAGGAGAAGGCAGAGCATCTCTCTGCCCACCTGATATGGTCAGCTCCCACTGGCTACCTGGCTTATTTTCTCAGAATGGCTGGACTGTGCCCACCCAGTGGGGGTGTGAACCAGCTGTGCCCTGTGCCCCCCACCCACCCCGGACCTCTTTCCAGAACAGACGCTATGCTTCAGGCCAGGGCAAGGCGGCGGGGGTCGTCAGCCTCAACAGGCTGCATGCACAACATCTTCTCCCCTCTAGGGAACATGCGGGGCTGAGCCGTGGGGAGACTCCAACCTGTCCTGGCAATGCGACTGCAGAGGTCTGCCCAGCTACTGGCAAGAGGGCCCCAGAATGAATTCCGCAGCTGGTCACCCTGGGACCCAGCCGTGTCAAGGCAGCCGCTGGGCCTACCCAGCCAGCCTCAGCCTCTCCCGGTTTCTCCAGGGTCTCCGGGCCTGCCTGCCCGTCCGCTCCCTCTGTTGACAGGCCGCCCGCCTTCCTTGGCCAGAGATCGAGGAAGCGGCCTTGGGGAAGCCGGCCCCTCGGTCTCTGGAGCCGACTTCCGCCAACCCCGGCTAATGGGTTCTCCGGAGCGGCAGGCGGCGGCCTGTCCTAGCTCTGCCCCGAGTGCTGCCGTGGGCGATACACAGCAACCTCGCCGCTGCCGCCGCCGCCGCCGCTGCCCTGCCCGCTGCCCGGGACCGCCGCTCGACCCGCTTCCCCGTCAGCCGCGAGCGTGGCGCACCCACCTGTGGAAGAAGAGGAGGATGGAGAGCAGCGTCTGGTCGATGTTGCGGTTGCAGATGCCCTGGTTGCGCAGGTAGCAGGGGTCGCGCACCACGGGCTCGAGCGAGTCCTGGCGCATGAAGCGGCTCAGCTTGTCCGCGTTGAGGTTCTCCTGGCAGACCAACTGCTCCCGCAGCTGCAGGAAGGGGCTGCCGGCGGGGCTGTGGTGGTGTTCTGTTGCATACAAGGGCTTTCTGTAGCATTTCCTGAGTTTAGCCTTTCTGTATGTAAAATACATGTTCTGCCATTGATCTGCAAACCTTTGCTTGTTGGTGAAGCTAGCTGTCTTTTGTTTTAGCAAGTGCTAGAAAAGTATGTAGACTCAGAAGCATGTTCTAACGTACTTCAGGGAGGAACAGATGATGGCTGTTTTTATCGCTTGGCTAGTTTTAGCTTTACAATAGAAACAAAATGCTGTTATAACTTTCTCAGGTAGTGAGTTGAAACAGAAAAAAGAGGCCCTGGAGAGATAACATTTCCTGAGAAATGAAACTCAGCAGTAGTAGCAATAGCAATAGTAGTAGCATTATGTTTTTTTCCTTCTAGTATTAGAAATAGTAAAGGTCCTTAAAGAAGAGTACACCACTGGAAGAGAAGGAAAAGAAGCATTGGTCCTCCTCTACACATATTTTAAACTAGGACACTTGGAATACGGTTGATGACCCATACTGTACTTTAAAACTTAGATCCTTCTTTAGCATCACGAGAAAGGAATAATTTAAATGAAGGCATCTATTTTCACAACACAATATGTTACAAAGAAATCCCTTCCTGGCCCGCCCCGCGCGCGCGGCTCCGGCCCCGATTGGCAAGGCGCTCCTGGGCCGCCCCGGTTTGGCCCTCCTCCTTTCCTCCGGCCGCGCCCATCTCAGGCGGCGACGGCGAGCGAAAGGCTGGCACGGACGGGCCCCGGGGCGGGGGGGGGGAGATGCCCACGGCTGGGCGGGCACTGCCAGGAGACGGAGCCTCCCTCGCCGCGCCGGCCAGGGTGGGCGCATTCCTCCTGCCGTCCCTCTCGCCTGCTGTCCGCAGTTAACAGGATCCGCGCGAGCGCAGACCTTCCCCGCACGGCCGGGCGCTGGCCGGCATTGAGAGGCAGGTTGAAAGCTACCCTTGCCGGACGCCTGCCTGCCTGCCTGCCTGCCTTCGCGCCCTTGTCCTCCCCGTTCTTGTCTCGGGCAGGCGTGAGCCTTCGGAAGACGGCTGCCGGCCACCCCTTTGCCTCGAGGCCCTGGGGTTCCCTCGCCAGTCCGCGGGAGATCCTCTGGAGGCAGGCGCTCAAGCACGGCTTGGGGAGGGGAAGCCCTGGCTTCGCGGGACAAGGTTCCGTGCCAGTAACGGTCGTGGGAGCCCTGCGCCCGTCCGGAAAGGACTCGCCCTCGCGGTGAGGAGAGAGCGAGCGCCGGGTGAGCTTCCAGCGGCAGCCTCCAGCCTCCAGCCTCCAGCCTCCCTTCTCTCCAGCTGGGGAGCGCCGAGAGGGGCCAGGCTTGGCGGATGCTGCCACCTGCTGGAGAGGTTCCGCGGGGCACGGCTCCTCAAGAGCCCGGGAAGGTGCTTCACTGCGGATCGGGGCTGGCCAAGTGGAAGAATGGCGAGGGAGGGTCTCTCGCCCTTCCTGAGTGCCACAGAGAAACGCTGCTGTGTCTTCTGGGCGATTGGCCCCGCCGATTGGCTTAGGGGCTTTGGACCCGTGAGCCCCCAATGACAGTGGCCACCCCACCCCCCCAGGGTTCCTCCCACCCTGGCTGACTGTAGGCTTCTCTCCCCTGCAGGAGCAGCTGGGTCCCCTGGCCATCACCCTGAAGGAGGTCTCTGCCCAAAGTCAGACCTGAACCCAGGACTGTTGCCCCTTGCCTTGGCCAGCTAAGCAAGGGGGGGGGGCTAGAGCCATCCTCTAGATCTGCCCTGCTTTTTTTGAAGGATTCAGTTCCTCCACCGGCCCGACTGCCCCACGTTTCCCAGCTGGAAGGATCTGGCCCCTGCTGTCCTGACGGGGTCGCTGCTCTGCTGTCTTCTCGGGTGGCTCTCCCTTCTGCCAGCCTTCAGTGGGAGGGCCCTGCTGGTCCCACCTCAGCGGGTTCCCATTTTGGTCACCTCTTCCCCCTCCCCAACAGCTGTTTGCTTTCCTTCCTCCTAAGGCTGGGCAGCTGGTCTTTCAATGGTCTTTTGGGTGTCTCCCCTTCTGAGGAAACGGATGCACCCCCTTTCTCCAGGAAGGGGTGGGAGGAAGAGACGGGACACAAACCAAAGGGCCCATCTTGTCTTTATTCTCCCATGCCCTGCCCCACATGGGTGGGGTTCTGAAGACACAGACAATGACAGAGGCCAAGCTTCTGTGCAGAGCCCAGGTGCGAATCCTGGTTAGTCCCAACGAGGTGCAGAAAGGGAGCAAATTCACCGGGGGAGGGCGCCCATGAGACGGTCAGTGGCGTGCAGAAGCCTCTTGCCCAGGCTGACTCACGGGAGAAAGGTTTTCCCCTCTTGGAGGTCCTGCAGTTCAAAGGGAAGAGGCCAGGATGAGGGCGGAGGCAAGGGCTCTGCCTGCTTCTCTGGAGTGAGGCCTGCAGGGCGGCAGCAGCACTGGCCAAGGGAGGGGGGCAAGTGCTTGCAGGATACCCACTGGTCTCAGGGGGGCTGCCTGTGCAAGCGCCCTTCCCTCTCCTCCACGGTGGGACTGCAATATCATTAGACCTGTCTTGCAAAGTCGGAGAGACCAGCCCAAAGCTGCCCGGGGCCTTCCGGGCCAAGGGGAGACCTGAAGCCAGGCCCTCCTTGCCTGCCCGACACTCCGGCCACGGCACGGCCTCCTTTTTTGGGATAGTCCCCCCCCAATCCTTCCCATGGTAGCCCCTGGGTGAGAAGGGGCGGGTTCCATTTAAAGAGTAACTATTCCAATTTGTGTGCTTCAGTGGCTTGATCTATTGCTCAGAGGGGTTTTTTTAATGAAAAGAAGGCTATTATAGCTTGACGTGTCCCCAGGGTGCTTTGCCTGGGGGGCCCAGTGAGCAGAGGAAGGAAGTGTCCATGAGAACTGTGTGCCAGGCCGGAAGGAAGAGAGGCAGCCCCAACTAAGGGAGGGGAAAAGGGCCCGGTGGGTCTCCTGCCTTCCCACACCGTCCTGCCAGCTGCCGGGGGGGGGACTCCATCTCCCTGCCTGGGCCCCTCACTCTGAACCCCTGGCACTCTGACTGCCTATCAATCCCTCTCCCAAATATCTCCCCCCCCCCAATTTAAACCTCTCGCAGGACCAGGAGCAGCCTTTCCTTGGTGGAGAGTGAGCCACCACAGGTGGGCTGTGGGTGTTGAGGGGAGAGCGGTGGCGCCCCCGCCCCCACCTCAACCGTAGCATCCCTCGCCATTTCCCTCTTGGAAAGGGGCCCCAGAGCCGGTCCAGCCCCATGCTCTGGGAGGGAGGCCATCTGCCTCTGTGTGTGGCCTCTGCCCTTCTGCCCTTTGCCTCAGGCAGCAGAAGGTTTGCCTCAGGGCTGGCCCCCTCCAGATCCATGGGCACAATAACACCCCCACCCGGCTGTTTCTCCGACCTCTTTGCACAGGGCACGGGCCAAGAGTGAGGGGAGGACCTTGCCCTTGCTGTCTGTCGGTAGGACTTCTAGGAAGGAGACAGGCTTTGCAGGAATGGCCCGCCTGCTGGAGCCCCCCCCGTCCCCCCCAGCCCACTCTCGATTCCTCCCTCTTTGGGCCAGAGCACTCGCACAATTGCTCCTACCTTCCTCCGTTTTCCCCTTCTGCCTCCTTGTTCTTCCCTCGTCCGCCTCTTTATATCCAGACAATCTGCAAAATACAGAAGACCCACATTCGGGGGCGGGTTCTTCCCTCACCTCTTCTGGTGAGGGAGGGGGACATGGCAGGACTAATCCAGAAGGCCAAGCCTTACATCTGGGGAAGACATTTTATTCTGTGTACTGACCATTCACCATTGCAATGGTTAAAGACAATGAAAACCCACAATAGCAAACTTATGAGGTGGGCTTTGAACTTACAGGACTATGACTTTGAAGTGAAGGTGGTCAGAGGGTCAGTGAACTGTGTTGCTGACGCCTTATCAAGAAGACCTGAAGACTGAAGACGGCGAAAGAACATGGACTATATGTATATAATGAAAACAAAAAGTTAAAATGTACCTGGTTTTGAATTTGGTTGGTATTAATAAAGGTAAATTGATGTACTGTATATGGTAAAATGTTTAAATGCATATTTGCTATGGTTAACTTGGAGTGTAAGTATATGTAAGTATTATCTGGTATGTATAAATGTTGTTGTGTATTTTATGCAGGTTGTTTTTTTGGTGAAAAGCACTTTTAGCTTTCCCCCTACAAAACAACTTTTAAAGAGGGGAGGTGTTACATAACAGCACTGATGTTACCTGTCTGTCATGGGTTTGGAGGGAAAGTTCCATCCTATGGGGAGTGGAAGGCGGGACATCAGGAGGAGGGGCTGTACTGTATAAATATGTGATGCCTGTGTGGTGAAGAGTGGATGCTGAGACAGACTGTGAGACACTGGGTTGGGACGAAGCAGCAGCTGGGGAAGAAGAAGCTGTTGTGGGAGTCTGTGTGTCTGACAGGGTACTACTGTGGGTCAGAGTACCACCCTGATAGGTTCAGGGGTCTGTTGGTTAGCCAGAACTGATGGGTTCAGGGTCTGTGCTTTAAGTTAAAGGTTCTAGGTGAACCAAACTGTATGCTTGTGTGTGTGAGAATAAGCCACGTTACTTTATTTTATTCACCTGATTGTTTTATTTACCCTGTTTGTATTTAAAATAAACCTTATTCTTTTATTGTTTAAAAATCCATCCCTGGTCTGTGTGACTTATTATAGGGAATGGTTGGTGGCAGCTTAGTAACTGTGTGATAGATCCCAGTAGGTCTGGGTTTGTCACAGGGGGCACAACCAGACCTTTCCTGCGGCCCCCATGCCAGGCCCAACGAACACAGCAGGAAGGCGAGGTGGGGAGAAAGACATGGCCCACTTCTATCTCTTTTGTTTCACGAGCACAACTGCCCCATCTGCGGGGGGGGGGAGAATGTATTATTTTCTTTTATATATTTGAAGTGTCCTTTCATGGCTGTTCTGCCCACTCTTCGGCCTTCAAAGCAAGCCATAAAAAGAGGAACAAAACGTTATTTGAAAACACCTGAAAACCATTTTCAAAGCCACACGTCAGATGGAATCACATCATTTTAAACATCTGCTGGAAGCGCAGAAGGACTAGATCCACCCTGGCGTCCCTTGGCGAGGAATTCCAGAACTGAGGCACGGCTCAGAGACCGCCCTGCCTCCTAGATTTGCCAGCCCAGGCCTTTTAGCTGATGGGACACACCCTGGAGCTTCTGCTGAAGACTGTGAAGAACAAACGGGCTTATAAAGAAGGAGGTGGGCTTTCTGATGTGAAATGGCCTGCCTGTTCTCAGCTCAGAGCAACTCCACTTTGCCTGCCAGAAGAAAAGGCTGAAACCTACCATCATCTCCAAGTGGATCCTGCAACTCCCATGTTGGAGGTCCTGTGAAGCAGAGGAACGTGGCCGGCCTGTCTGGCCATGGCTTTTGGAACATCTACAGTCTGTTTCTTTTGCACTCACACTCCAAGACCTTGAAGAGGTGCCTGCGCCCCTCCCTCAACCTGTCCCGTAACAGAACCATTTCAAGGAGGAAGGGCCTCCCTGCAGCACCTCCGCTTGCCTTTCCTGGAGCAGAATTTTTCTCAAGGTCTGGGAGCACGAGACACACACAGAGACGTTTGTCAACAGTTTGGTCTGCAGAGCTGTTTCTTCTGCAATGGCTTTTCACTTGATTTTATATACCCATTTAGTTACTTCATACATTTGAGTAGCTTGTCATAAATAGTTTGTTACCACCTTGACTGCTGGCAGAGAGAAGGGACTGTGCGGATGTTTTCAAACAGCCTCGGCTCTCCTGCTCTTAGACTAGCAGCGTGCAGAGTCACTGAGAAGAGGCCACAAGGTTACTTACAGACAGCAACGATGGTGAGGAAGGGAAGGAGGCACATCCCAGCGGCTCCGGCTACGATAGCTGTGAGGTCCACAGGCCTGACACACTTCTCCTCTGTCATTATTGAAAGACAGGGAAAAAAATGGAAAGTGTCCCATCATCATCATCATCTGTCACACCTGGAACTTCAAAGTTAGTAGAAAAGTTTCCCAGCACATTCTTTTCCGAGGTGCACCCCTCTTTCATCTGAAGTTCATTGTCCAACATCACAAAGGACCGGGCGGCCTTTGGGATGCCATTGGACAACACCAACCATCATTCCTTATCATTGATTGGGCTGGCTAAGGGTGATGGGAGTTGTTGCGTAACAGTATTGGGGTGGGGTGGGGGAAGCACGTTTCCCAACCCTGTTACACAAAGTTCATGCTGTCACTGGGGGGTTCTCCTCTGCATCTGTTTGCAAGCAATGAAAGCGACATCCTTCTGGAAGCTTGGAGCAGGCACAGACTTAGCTATCCAGGGTGTATAGCATGTGTTTTGGCAACAGCAGGGGCCACTTTTTATCAAACAGGAGCATGGGGATTTCTAAAATAAAGCTATTGCAAAATAGTCAGTTACGTAAAATCAGTGTGAGAGGAAAGAGGGCTCTGTTGGATCAAGAGGAAGGAAAAAGTGAGGAAAGGATGGTTTAGTCCATCCGATCACAGACAACACGGAAGGACTCTTGGCCATCAGGGTGCTCAAAATAGAGGAGTCTGGTTTTTCTGAGGATGGCCGAACCGTAGTGGAGTGACAGAGCCCCTTTTTGCATCCAGAGGGTCCCGGGATTGAAAATTGGCATCCTCTCCAGAGAAGGCTGGGAAAGACCCTTCCCTGCCGGACAATTCAGAGCACCAGGGCTGCTCATCACTGCTGACCCACAGGGCACAAGACGCACCTGGCGTGGAATGAAGCCCCTTCTGAACCCACTTGCAACCCTCGGGTTGCTGGGCCACATCCATGGCTCTCAAGTCTGGTCCAGTCATCACTCCCGTGTGTGTGTGTGTGTGTGTGTGTGTCTGTGTGTGTGTGTCTCTGTGTGTGTGTGTGTGTCTGTGTGTGTGTGTGTGTGTGTGTGTGTGTGTCTGTCTGTCTGTCTGTCTGTCTGTCTGTCTGTCTGTCTTGGTGGCATCTTTGGGCAGCAAAAGGGGCCCAACTCACCTTGCAACTGGCAGATGCACTTCATGAGGAGACTCAAGGTCACAATGACGATGAACACCCCTCCAGGGGCAGCGAGGTCCAGCATGCGTTGTGCTGCCATGGGGTGAGGGTGGGGGAAACAGGAGAGGAAGAGCAGGAAGCTGGTTGGGAGGCTCTAGAAGCAGGGCTACCGCCTGGACCGTTTCCTCCCACAGAATGGGGAGGGGAGGGGAGGGGAGGGGGACTCAGGGCTGGCCCTCCCTCCCGTCCTCCCCAGGCACCGCTTTGTACAGGAACCAACCCACTCTCAGCAGGAGGATATTTAGGCCCAGACCCTTCCTGACCCATCAGAGGCAAAGTTTCAATCCTCCCCACCAACCTCTGAATATAAAAAGAAACTTGGGCAGCAGGTAATGCCCCCCAAAAATGCCTTCTCCTACCCCCGCCACCTGTTTGGGCCTGAGAGAAATGAAAGGCCTGGACCTTCCATGGCAGGGGCCTATGTGTGATGCTGGTGGCCCGGCTGGGCATCAGGCGGGTGCCCAGCCTGCCTCTGTGGGTGGTGCCTCCTGTTTTGGAGCCCCAGAGAAATGCCGGGCTCTGCAAGGAGCTCAGGGGATGGCCTGGGGGGCCACCTTTCAATGCCCGGTGCCCCTCTCTTGCTCCTTCTGTGCCAGCTCGATTGTGTGACCCTCTGGGGCTTTGCCCCTACTCTGGGGTGGGGCTGGTTTTCTGCTGCACCTGCTGATTCATGTGTGCGTTGGGCAGTTCTTATGAAGTGGCGCCTCAGAGAAGACCATCACTGTCAGCTGGCCACCAACTGACCTGGCCGGTCTGTGACCTGGTAGAGCACCTCCAGCTGGAAGAGGATGGTCACCACAATCAAGAGTGTGATCGTCATTACGTGGAGAAGCAGGATGGTGGGCACAATGAGGATGGCAGGGAAGCCTGTGAAAGAGAGGAGGGGGGGGCAAAGGCCGGCCAGTCTGGTAAGGCAGCTCACGGCGCTTTGTGGTTCTGCCTTGATCCAAGGAAACTTGGCCAACAAATAGATTGATCTACTGATCACAAATGGGCTGAACGGTTCCTGAAGAAGGAAGCACCCTTTTTAGAGGGCACATACATGCCAGTTTAGAGAAGCAGGAGGACCCATTGCTGCCAATAATATCTCACCTTGATCGTAACTCCAGAGGACCACCGCCACCAGCGCCATGGCACACGCTAAGCCCGCCAGCCCGTTGGCATAAACACCGAGCCATATCCATGCCTTCCCTCCTGGCACGGGGGTGGGGAGAGTAGAGAGAAATAGCAAACACATAATCTCTTTCCTTCCAGGGGCCTGATGCCTGGGAAGGAGAGCTACAGCCACATTGGGGAGCCCCAGCCCACGGCCTGGCCCTGGTTCTCTTCCCCTTGCCTTGTCGCAGGCAGGCAGGGAGGGGGACGGAGGGACAACCAACCGCCCTCTCTCTCGAGGGAAGAGACCCGATGGGCATCTGGTCCAGAGCAGCCAGACCCAATCCCCAAGAGACCATACTCACGGATCCTAAATTTTTGTGGATGACAGAATGGCATTGTTATCCCACACCCACTGAAAGCAGCAAAGACCAGAGCAGCGGCAGAAATCTGGAAACACACCTCCAGCTCCACCGGAAGACCTAGAAGAGGAGACCGAAGGGGAAAGGCGAGGAGAAGCTGCGGGGGGGAGCAAGGCTGCCTTTGGAGCTGCAGGGGCTGCTCTGGCAGAGAAGGGGATAGAACAGGCAAGGGCACCATCGGGGAGCCCTTCAGGAGGAATCCAGCAGTGTGCATATCACATCAAGGGGAACAGTTTCTGTCAGTGGAAACAGATCACAGCTTTGGTGAGCCATGGAATGGGCAGAAAACTGGCTAAGAGCAACACATGGGGAGACCCAGAGTGAACCTTCAGGCGCTGAGCCCTGGCCAAATGAACTAAATGTTACACAGAATACAATTTTCCTCTTCATTTACTTTAATTTATTCTGGTTGTAAATGCTGTCGCTTCCATGATTATGGAATAAATCTCACTGTAGGATCAATTACTACAGTTTAAAAATTAGACTTAAGAGTTGTTTGGTAATTATGGACAGGCTTTGTGCCATGATATCTCACCATTATTCTTCATAAAATATTGTTCAGACCAAATGACCCTTTATCTACAGCTCCTGGAATCCCTCCCCCCCCCTCCGTCCGCCGGCTGGCATGGTGTGCAGTCAGAGGGATTTGGTGAGGTGTACCCTGCCCTCCCCAGGAAATTTTCTAAGCCCTGGTTCTTTGGTGCAAATGTTCTCCATGTGTTGAAGCACAAGGATACAGCTTGATTGGGGAGTGAGGGGGGGGAGAGGAAAGGAGCTTCCCTGGGGGAGACAGGAGTATGGGCTGAGCACCCCAAGCGGAGTGGGAAAGCTCTGGGGCAGAGAAGGCCACAGCAGCCACAGGCAGGGCCAGCAGGGGGCGCACTAAGCCCAGCCTCTTCCCGGGGGGGGGGCAATCTGCCAGAAAAGCCGAGCAGGAAAGCAGGATGAACCCGGTCCCGTCCCCATAGAGTTGCAAAGGGATGGGTGTGGGGGGGAATCAGGAGATTCTGGGAGCTTTTTTCACAAGAGTAGCATTTCCCAGTTCTGCAGAAACCCAAAGAAATCCACAAGGCTTCTTTCCTGCTGTAGAGCCTTTTCCAGCTGTTTGCTTTCCAGAGGCAGGGCCCCAGAACCGCCTTCCCTTCCTCCAGGGTTTGGCAATCCTGCCCCCTGGATTTGCAGCCAGTGCCCTGGTGTGTGGGTAGTTTGTGGACCATGATACAGAGGGTGCCTCGTCCTGAAACCGGAGAGGGTGTCCGCACCCCCCCTCCCCACCCTGTCACAAGCCTTCCTTGCCTTGGAACAAAGGCTAGCCTTGCCCTTGGTGGAAGGCACAGCCAGAGTGAGGCCACAGCCTTCGTAGCCTTGAGCTTCCCCTCCTCTGTGCTGACCGCCCCCCCCCCCAGGCTGCAGCCTCACCCACTCACCCTCTCAGTCAAGCCTCTGCTGAAAGACGGGTAGCGAGCACTTACTGGGAGCCTCCAGCAGGGGGATGGAGGAGTTGGCCCGGGAGCTGCCTTGTTGCTCCTGCCGCCTGAGCCCCATACATTTGGAGGTGTTCTCCCCAGTCAGGAAGCCCCGTGGGAGGGGTGTTGGCACAGCTTGCTTGTTTTCCGATGCAGGCAGCAGGAGAGGAGAACCTGCTGGGATGGTGGTCCAATTTCCCTCTAGGGGTCCCTCGGCTCCCACGGCCCATTGGGGGACCACCATCATCACCACCACCATCATCAGGGCTATAAAGGAGAAAGGGCAAGAAGAAGCACAGGCATCAAAAGAGAAGGCACCCTGTGCCTGTCCTCAGATGGCCAAGCCACCCAGAAGAGGCCAGTGGGCTGGTGGTGTCTGTGGCGAAAGGGGCCCAGGACTCTTCTCCCAAGTCCTGGGCCCCTTTTTCCCATCCAGGGACCCATAGATTCGAGCTGCGGAAAGTGCTGCCCTCTTTCCCAAACCCGTCCGGCCTGGGGGAGATGGGGCAGGTTCATGCCCGTTGTGGGTGGTGCCCACTGGGTGAGGCAGAGCAGAGGGCAGGGGCTCTGCAAAGGGAACCAAACAGACTTCCAGCTTCCTCTCTGATCTCTCCTCTGTGCAGACAACCTCAGTCCTTCCCTCACTCCTGCCCCTGGCAAGAAGGAGCCCTGAGCGTCAGGTGGGTGGTTCCCTCTCCCCACAGACGCAGAGGACCAACCCTGGGGACCCTCCCGGAACCTCTGGCTGGGGCAGTTCTCAAAAGGACCTCCTCCCCGTCCAGGTGGGCCTCCCGTCCTTCACGCCAGAAATAATGGCCAGAATCCCATGGGTCTCAAGCAGAGTATGCAGGAGAGGCAGCCTTGCCAGCGATGCGTTGCATGCGTGGATGTGCCAGCATCATGCAATAGGTCGTGTGCTACGTTGTGTGGCCAAGTGTGTGACAGACGGCCGACAAAATGTGGAAGCTGCTTGCATGAGTGCCGTAGGCATCCAGTATTTCATGGTAGCATTTGGGCTGACCAGTCTTAAGGAGAAGGGAGCACGTGGACTGTTGATCTGGCTCCCTCTCCTCTGCACAGCGAAGCCTCAGAAATGACTGCATTCCAAATATTTACATTTGCTTGGCGAGCCTTCTGATCATCAGCTGCTCCCTCTTTTCCACTTGGCCCACCCCCAACACCCACGCCATCCTGCCCCCTCCCCCCAACACTCATTGGAAAGCTGGCTTTTAAAATGTACACAGTCACAAATGGAAATGTACACAGTCCAGAGTCCAGGTCTCTGGGAGGCTTTGCTGACACACATCAAGGATGGAATAGGGATTACCTGGAGCCAACAGAGAGCACCCTGCTCTCGTCCTGAGGAGGAAGCCGGCCGGCATCTGTGAGGGGGGGGAGAAGCCGCTGAAATCAGGAGTGGGCGCAGGAGGTCGCCTCAATGCGTACTGGCCGAGCACGAGGCGCACAGCCTGGCCAAAGAGGGAGCTACGAGGGAGCGCTGGCCATCAGCTCTGCCTCCTGCAACTTACTTTCAGCCTTTTGTCCGACCTCTGCCTTCTCCCTCTCCTCCTGCACCTCATCTTGTCTCCAGATTCAGTTGGTCCTTGGGGCCAAGGGACTTGAAGATTTGCCCACAGCTTGAACAGGCCTGGCTGAAGCCCTTGGCTGTCCTGACCCATGCAAGGGCCCCCAAGCCAAAGGATGCCTGGCCTCTGGAGGGAGCCAGCAAGCTGCAAAGGCAGCCCTCTGGCCAAACATGAATACTAACCTCTTTGGGAGTTGCGCTTAGTGATCCCATCTCCCAGGTGCCAGTGCAATCCAGGGAAGAAGGAGAGGAGAAATGGTCCCTCACATCCAACCGCCTACCATCTGGCTCTGGAGAAGCCTCAGTTGAGGCAGGCTGGTGGCAGCTGCCGTGGCAGGGTGTCAGGTGGCCTGTGAGGTGAGGAGAGGTGCTCCGGAGGAGGGCTCTCTTCTGCTCTGCTGAGGCTGCCCCCCCTCCTCCACAGGGCTCTTCCTTCCAGGTGTCAGGTGGGCAGACGCCAGGTGTGTCTGGTGAGGCAGCTGCTTTTCAGGGATGCCCCACCCAGGAAGCAGTAATACAGCACAGAACTCAGACCCTTTCCTGCATCCAGAGGAGGCTACTCACCAGCTGAAAAGAGGGCAGCATCCTGGAAATGGCCGTTTATGCTTTGGGCGATTCTTGAGCAAACCCACAGAACATAAAGTCGACTCTTCCCCTCTGTGGACCTCTTGTGAAGGCAGGCAGTGCCGGCCCTGCTTGAACTGCAAGACACCCCCCCTCCTCCCCCAGAGGGGATGTTTTGCTTTTCCTTTTCTGCAAGATTCCTCTCTGGACATTTTCATTTCCTGACTGACCAGCAGAAAAACTAATTGATTCAACATGCATAAACCCACAAAAGTGGGGTTACACAACCAGCTGCTTCCCGGCTTCCTATGAGCTTTCTCAAGTGACATTTTCCAGGCTAAAAGGCCACTTTAAGGCCACTTAAGAAAGCTATCAGAGAAATTTGACTCTGGTCATGGGCGCCTGTCTGGCTTCCTGTTTTGTTTTGTTTTCCCCTGAACTTCGGGGCTTTGGTCAGGGCTGGCCCAAGAAGACCTCTTTTGCTGCTCAAATCGCATGGCGCTGGCCTCGACGCCAGGTGCTGTTCAGGGCATGTGGAGCATTGCATTTCAAGGAACATTTTGTTTCAGCTCAGCAGCTGGACCCGAGAGGGAGGACCCTGCTAGGGCAAATGCCTCCTTGTCTGCCCAAGGGGGTAGAGACGAAAACTCAAAAGGGAGGGGAATGGCCCGATCATTACTTTCAAAGAATGACTGCAGCCGACAGCTTGCATGCATGTGTGTTTTCCTGCTGTCACCTTGAGGTGGCCACTTCCTTTTCCTGCCTGCAAGGTTGCCTTGATGCTGCGTTAAACGATCTTCAACGTTTTCCCACTCAGACGTCATTCTTACATCCATACTTGCTTTCCCAACCTGACTTCAGGCCTTAGCCTCCTGCCTGGCCACCTGCCGAAACTGCAGACACACTTCAAGCAGCAGGCCAGCCCCACAAGGGCTGACTGCTGTCGGATGGAGGGCATGCATTGTCTGCCCCTTGCAGTCCTGTGAGCAACTCCTCCTCCAGTCCACAACAACAACAACAACCACACCAGGGCAGCTTCTTCAATAAAGAGGCCAGTTCTGCTTCAGGGCAACCCATCTGTCCCTGGCCTGGAGATGGATCGGGTGCCATTTCACAGAAGGAGAAACAAAGCAATGGGAAGGCCAAACGCCCCATTTTGGCACTACCTGTTCCTCTGATTTGTGCTCCTTTTTCCCCCACAAGGAAACCAACGCCATATTCTATGCATCTGCTGGAACTGGGTTGCAGCCTGTGAAAGCATACAATTCCTTAGTCACAAAGACCACCAGCCCTCAGACTTGTTAAAATATCCCCTATCTGGTGAACTTCATCTATTCATGACCTTGTTCCTTAGAAGCCTGATACAGGTGAACATTTCTCTGTGGGGTCATGCAGTGTTCTGCATAAATTCCTCTGATTGCATTTCAGTAGCAACAGAATTAATGTTCGCAGTTTAAAATACTGTAATTGCCTTAGCATCTCCCAACTGTACTCCCCCCCTCTCTCTCCTCTCTCTCTCTCTCTCTCTCTCTCTCTCTCTCGCACACACACACACACACACACATGCTCTCTTTCTCTATCTCTCCCCCCCCTAACACACACACACACACACACACACACACACACACATTTTTGTGATCCCAGTTGCCCCAATGGTCTCCATCCTGTTATAAGTCATCTTAGTCATCAGCTCCCCAGTTCATCCTGAGAATGACAAAAGGAAGGAATCTGCTTGACTAGACCGTGGGATCCTGCCAAGGCAGAAAGCAGAGAGAACAAGGGAGAAACGTCCACAAGAGGAACCAAAACTTAGAACAGCATTTGAGGATGTGAAATGGGTGCCCCTACATTCTCTCTTCTTCAGCAACCTGGCCTTTAGAGCAGGCAACTACGAAAAAGTTAGAACCATTTGAAATGTGCACTGATGATAGGTGCCAAAACTGCTTGGATTAGGAAAGTTACCCGTGCAGAAGTGCTCAGGAAAATGGACGGAAAATAAGATGTCATTTAAAAAACCAATAAGGCAGAAATGTTCTGGATGGAAGACAGCACCACGGTCAAAACAGCCATCGGCACATCCGAGGGAAATGCTGGTCTTTGAAGGCTCAGCTATGAGGTTCTTTTTCTCAGCCGTCTGGAAAAGTGGGCTATTCATTCTGCAAGGCATAAAGCAGAAGTCTTTGCACCAAAGAAGGAAAACCTAACAAAAGCAGAACAGAAAACAAACAAACAACAATCTTGAGGCAGATATACTTTGGTGTGAGTTTTTGTGGGTTGCAATCTGCTTCTCGAGACACGCAAGTCGAGGGAAAGTCTGGGCTCCCTTTTTTTGCCCCCATCCCCACCAGAGTGCTGGAGAGGGTGGGATGTTTTCTCACTAGGTGGCGCTACCTCCCTGCTTCTTGGCTCTGAACATCTAAGCCCAAGAAAGAGGCTCGGCTGTGACAGCTCCCCACCCCATCTCCGTTTTGGCCCCATAGGGGTAGCTGGAGGAACATTTAGAATTGCATGTGATCTTTCTTCTTTGGAGCTAGAAGAGAAAAGGTGGTTCCCTTGGGAAAAGCAAGCTTGCAGAACGGCACATTTCAAAGCCAGGCCCTGCCACCTGATTTTCAGGCCCTTTTCCAAGGAAAGAGTCAGGTGTGGAAAAGGACCTTGGTCTGTTAACATTTTGGGCTGCAGAGAGGAGACTGGTGGTGGGGCAGGGCATTGACCAGGCGTTTTGGGTACCATAATCTTCAAACACGGAAGGTCGTGGAGCAGCATCCAGGCAGCATCTTCCCTTTGTAACGCCCGGGGGTGGGGAGGATGGAAGAGCTGCTCAGCACCATCTGGGATGGAGCCCTCCTTCTGGATGCACCCAAAGGCGAGGGCAAAAGAGCAGCTGCCAGAGGAACGCCTCAGGAAATGGCTGCTGGAGCGACCCTTGTGGACCCTCTGCCCTGAAGAGGCTGCCACAGAGGGTGGCCGAAAAGCATCACGCACTCTGACGATGATGTTTCTGAACTGGTGCCCCAAGCAATGATTTCTGAGGCACCCTCAGCTTAGCAAGGCACAGGCAGTCTCTGCAGACGTTCAGGGACAAGTCACAACATTTGGGGAGGCTGGTGGACTCTCACTTGCCAGGCCAGTGATGGCACACAGAGGGAAGGAAGGGAGGAAGGAGGCCCCTGCGGTGGGTGTCCTTCCTGGCCTCTGCGACAAGGCCTGGCCCGGCCCGGCCCCTGTCTGGGCCCCCCACGGCAGCTGAGAAAGTCCCTCTGGCGGGCCTGATGAGCGCACACCTCCCTCACCCCCTTCTCCCTGGAGCCCTGGAACCCGGGAGTGACATCTGGCCCCTGAGAAGCAGGAGAGACGCCCCTGGCCTGGAGGGGAGACACGGGAGGCGGTGGGCCCAAACCTGTCCTCTTCCCAGCCTCCTGGCCCTGCCCTCTTGCCAGAGCCAGGCGCCCTTTCCATCCATGCCAGGTGTTGGTTTGGAAAGGGCGGGGGGTTCTTCTCCTGCTGGGGTCCAGACTCTGGCCCACTGGGAGGAGCAGAGGTGCGCTGGGCGTGAGCAGGATGCTGAGGCCGGCGGGAGCTCTAGCTGCCCGTCCTGGTGCCAGATACTCCCCTTGGTGGCCCAAGCCTACCTTTCCCCCTCAGTGCCAGCTGGGGAGGGGGCTCGGGCACAGAGGAGGTGTGGAAGTAGCTCCGCCCAGGGGCATCTCGGGACCAAGAGGCGGACCCCTGATAAAAGGTACGGGCTGGAGCCTGGCCCCACGGGTGGATCAGGCCCAGCTCTCCTCCCTCCAGGGGTTCAACAGAGACAGTTTGTGAGGCCAGGCTGGGAGGCCAGCAAGAGGACTGAAGCTCACTTCAGAGGAAGAGGGCTCAGCTGTGATGCCCGCCTCGCTGCGGTGCCAGCCTTCAACAGATGTGTCCCTCCTCCTTGGTACTGCGCGGCCGCCTCTCCAGGCGAAGACTCCAAAGACAGTTGTCCATTCTCTGAAGTTGGCGGCTGACCAACACCGAAGGGAGGGCCGGGTCCCCAGGCTGATGGCCCGGCAGGGCAGAGAGCAAAGAGGGGGGGGAGCCTTGGGCTGGAGATGGCCTGAGAGCAGCAGTTTTTGTCCAAACAGGCATCCTCCTTAGGAAGAGGCCACCTCCTCCCCACAGCAATGGGTCCAGCATCTTCCTGCCTTGGGTTCAAGGGTTTTGGAACCAGCACAAAGGTGGGCCCCTTGCCCTCCCATAGCTGCGCCCTTCTGCTCCTGGCCCGGTATCGCCCTACCTACAGCTCTGCAGAACAGCGACTGTGCAGGCATGCAGGCCACGAGTCTTCAGAGAGGTGACTCCTCCCTTGGTCTGTTTCAGCACAGAGAATAACAATGGAGAGAAAAAGGGGGCAGGGGAGAAGCTTCAGGGCGACTTGCACAGGCCAGCACCTGCTTGCTGTTCCTGACTAGAACAGGCCCACGGACTCGCTCAGGTTTGCCTTAATATAGATTAGGGATGGGACATTCATCACCAGCGCCATCGTCATTTGGGACCCCAACTCCCAGAAACTTCCAAGAATTTCTCAGGCCGAATTCTGGGAGTTCCCTCCCCCTGGAGGCCAGCCTGGCTCCATCTTGGCTGTCCTTCTGCAAGCAGGCAAAGACCGTTCTCTTCAGGCAAGCTTCTCCCCGAGTGTTGCCTGCTCTCCCAATCCAGCCCCTTGCCAAATTTTGCAGCCTGCCCCCTTCGTTTTTAAATCCCACTTCTTTCCATGTAGTTCCTCCCCCCCCCCCCCAAACCTGGAAAAAGAAGACAGAGAATGGCAGCAAAACATTAAGGAAAAACCCCAAAACATTTTATTTGTGTAGGAAGATCAGAGTTGTTTAAAAATGCATTGTTTTTAAAACGGCAGCCATTCCTCCAGATCTTGTACAGGTTTGATATGCCCAGGAGTCATTTCCCTGCTCGTGAGTCCTGTGAACAACCAGGCTGTAGCTCAGACCAGGGGTCCCAATCCTTCCCTCCTGGGGAAGCCATGCTGGCAAGGGGGAACGGCTGGCAGGGATGTGGCACCGACCGCTTCCTCCTCCTGGCAGAGACACCGTCCCGGCCTCTGTCTGGAAGAAGAGCGGGTGGCCCAAAGAGGGACAGCCTGGGCGTTGGCGGGCAGGCAAAGCGAGGGGGGCTCCGTCTGGGACTGAGGGGCCCAGAGAGGGAGGGAGGGAGGGAGGGGGCCCACTTGGGGCCCCTTTCTGATGCTGCTGGGCCAGACCAGGCCTGCCACGTCCTCTGGCCACCCCCTCCCACGGGCCAAACACATCTCCTTTTTCTGCAGGGCGCTGCCTCCGTCTTGGATGTCCCACCTGGAGCCTCCTCTCCCCTCCTCTCTGGTGCGAGGGGGGGGGGACTGAGAGGGCACGGCTGCCAGGTCACCTGGTCCCTGGGTTTGCTCCATTATCTTTTTTTGGGTGGGGGTGGGGGTGGGGTGGGGAGACCTGAGTTGGGGCCATTTTCCCTGCATAAAGTGCAAGCGCAGGGCCTGCCCTTCCGGGGTGGACTGGCAAGGGGGCCCCGAGGCTTCCCAGGGCTGAGGTGGCTTTCGCCGGAGGTTTCCTTTTGAAACGCAGCCCTTGAGTTGCTCCCTACTCGGAGCAGCTGCCATGTCCCCAAAGGACCCTCCGTTTGTCAGCTGAGGCTCACCTTGAGGGCAGGGGGCTTCCCCTCAGCCTTTCCTTTTTGCCGCCCGAGCAAGAGTCTGCTTTTTAAGAAGGTGGGAGCGAGGAGCGGCGTTTCTCCGCCAGCCTAGGCTCAGAGCCAGCTGGGCAGGCACCACGCCAGGGGACCTCTGGGTCCTTTCTCACTTCCAGGGTCAGGAAGGGCTTGGATCTGACACGGCTTCAGGTGGCCTAGTGGCCCCTCAGCTGGCCCATAGCCCGCTTGGCTGTGAGTGACTTGTGCAGAAGGCCGTTAAAGGGAGCTGTGGCACCTCTCAAGGCACGGCGGGCACCCCCTTGCCCACAGACAAAGGCCTGACTCGATGGAGAGAAGGGACGCGGGCTCTCTGGCGTGCTGCAAGGATCCGCACCTCCTTTCCTCCTGCCTGAATCAGGATGGAGACAAAGGCCCTCTTGGCCTCAATTCCCGGAACAGAGAAAAGGCGCAGGAGCGGGGCCAGCCTTTCAGGGGCTCCTGAGGCTGCAGGTGCCAGTCTGTGGGCAAGGAAGGTGTTCAGTGGCATGGCAGGTCCACTCCTGGGAACTGGGGCTCCAACGTGGGCCCTTCTGGAGCCCCTGGCTCTGAGGCAGGTGGCCATGGACTGTGCAATCCAGCTGTTCTCTCCTGCAAGCGGCTTGGAGTTTGCCTTAGAAGGAAGCTCAGAGGGGGCCAAGAAGGGGCTGCCCAGGGCAGAGAAGGAATCTCCCCAGTGCAGGCCCCACCTGGATTCTGCTTACGCTCTTTGGCGAGGGGTGCCCACCACCTCACCGTACAGGTGAGATGCCTAACCTCAAATCACCTCTCATAGCAAAGGTAGAATAATCGGGGGGGGGGGGAAGAGGTGCATGTGCTGACTACCAGGCCTGAGATCACGTACAGTCTGCTTCAACACAGCTGCGCCCCTTTGCTTTCCCTTAAGTAAGAGGAGTGACACCACCACCACCACCCCCCGCTGACCCCCAAGACCTTCTAGGCATCCCACCCACAACAAGGCAGAGTTGCAGCACTTGTGGGTTCCGTTTCCCTTCTGCTCCTCGGCAGAGCATATCTTGTCTTTACAGCCTCTTGGCTTCAGTGGGACGCCCTGTTGCTGCTGCTGCTGTCATGGCCAAGGTGCGCTGCCTGGTTTCTCCAGTGAGAGAGGCTGCAGGATGGAGGCCACCACGGGCACCTCTCGGTACTGGCAATGCAAGGCAGGGAAACAGTCTGCATGCAGCATCCCTCTGCAGGGCTGCCTCTGTCTTGCCAGGCTGGTTAGGTAAGGTTCTGGGGGTGGGGGCAGCTCGGAGAGCAGCAAGCTCGCTATGCTCCAGAACAGACACCCAGGCCCTGATTTCCGAGGGCTCTGTCCACTCAGGACATCTCCTGTCCCCTTGCTGGGATGCAGGGAGGACAGGCCACCGGAGCAGGGCCAGTTGGCAGTTAGGACTGGAAACAGGGCACCTGGCGAGACGGAGCCGCCCCCAGGACTACGTTTGGGGCTTGGTGAGCTGAGCAAGCCACGGTTTCTGCGCCCCCTTCTGCCATGCACCGCTTGCCAAATTTCTCAGCAACGATTTTAACAAAATTGTCCAAGAAGGAGAGACGGCTGGTCTCAGAGCAAGAAGCATGGACGGGAGTGTTGGTTGCAACCCGCTCCACCCGTTGCCAGAGTCCTGGGAAAAGCTCACGGGGCAGCCGGGTGGACGTCCTCCGAGCGAAGCACTTTGTAAACCAGCCAGTAAAAAATGTTGAAGACCAGGAAGGTGAAGGGGAAGACGGCCCGGGAGATGGTGTCGATCCGCTTGGCCCGGTCCAAGTAGCGCCTCCGGAGCAGCTCTTCTTCCCGCAGAAGGAGCGAGG